TGTGTATTAACAGAGAGATTTAACGGCTTTTAAAATAGATGTGCATTTCTAATTCTTTGCACTAGGCTTACTAATAGCTGGTGAGGGGAAGCTACAAGATAATAGTGAATTACTTTCCGGAAAAGTTTAGCAGATAACTCATGAAATGAAAGAAATCCGAGAAAGCTTAACCTAATTACTCTGGTTACAGGATTTTGCTTTTCAGAAGAGATGCCCAAACTTTAAATAAATTCTATCTACTTATCAATTCACTATCTATTTTTGATATTTTCAAAGTTAGAAATATTGAATGGTTCTGTAAGAGTATATATTTTAAAGCACACGTATGTATAATTTTCTGTAGCTACATAACTCTGGAAGGAATGTATGAGCTGGAATTTCCTATCTTTTAAATGGAGTGTTGAAGACATTGCATGTTGTAAAATGAGCACGAAAGAAATCTAATTACATTCATATAGTAAAATTTTGACACAGTGTAGCAGTTAGTCATCATTAACTAAAATAAAGATTTACTAAATATCTGAAATATTTAACAATATAGTTGAGATAGACAAAAAGACAAGTAAACGTAGTCCTTATCCCAATAATGCTTATAATACACATGGAGATGACAGATAAGCACATTATAAAAAGTATCTACAAGCACCAGGGGAACTAATACCTTCCAAATGAATGAGAAGTATAAATTGTATTACAATAGTTCAAAGATGGTCATTTTGACTTTTCATTCTGGGACTCCACAAGTGATTCCTAGTGAATATCAAAAATGTCATTGGGTTTTGAATAAAAGAACAATGATGTACGTGTGGGAATGACCTGATCAGACAGGTGGAAATATTACTACTCTGAGTATGCAGGGTGTATGAAAGAGGAGAGTTTATGCAGATTAATGGGAGCTGAAGCTAACAGAGATGCTCCAGTCAAAGGTCGGAGAACCTGAGTGGTTGCCCAAATAGTTTGAACAAGTGGAAACAGACCCATTCGAGTTTTGAGAAGGACAGTTGCATGACCAAGTGCTGGTTCAAGAAGTCAAATTTAAAAATAGCAATGATAAATAAAAATAATTCTACAAAAATATTTGTGCTTGCTGAGAGAGAAGGTAATTTGAGAGAGAAGGGATCTGGAGGTATGCACATCAGTTAGGGGACTGCTCACAAATGAGCTGATACAACAGTGCTCTGTGATGGGGCAGTGATTGGAAGGAAAGGACGAAAGCAAAAGGATTCAGTCATCTTTTGTGCCTAATAATGAATATCAACCCTGGGAAAGAGAAACATCAAAGATAATTCTGAGATATCCAGGTAAAAAGAATTAGAGAAATCAAATAAGGACTCTGCAAGTTGATTTGCTTGTTTATTTTATGGGGAAACCAGTTTAAATTGCGTGCATTTAAATTGCAGAAGAAATGCTTAGGAGTTTATGCAGTGGAGCATAGTTTGAATATGGTCCGAAACAGAGGTGAGTAGTGAAGGATGCAGGTGTATCTACAGCTTTTGCAGCCATAGGGCTGGATGTCAGCTCTAACAAGATAAACAGAAAAATAAGATGTCTAAATATAGGTGAGGTGAATGTCAGGGAAGGTTTTTTGAGGATATGAATTTTAAATATCAGTTTAAAGACAGAATCTGTAAGATGATATAAGGATATACAATATCATCCTTGCAAGCATTAAATACAACACCACTGCTGTGAACCTAGTGAAGGACAAATATAATGGAATACAATGTAGATTAAACACTCTGAGCTGTAGGATCGTGATTTACTTTATGGAGGTCAAAAGTCACTTTGTCCTCAGCATGGTTAACAGCTCAGGGAAATGTGCCGGAGAGAGGATTAATTCAGGTGTTACTGGATCCAAAGCCCAACTCTGCTACTAAACAGGCTTTTATCTTAGTTTAGCACCTTAAACTAGGCTCAATATCTTATTCTTAAATAAGTTTACCATTATGAAATGAGAGATAATATATATACCATATGCCAAGCTCACTGTATGCATTAATTAGTGAAGAGTTGCCATTAGTTATTTAGTTTTATTTTTAGAATTTTTTATTATTGACAAGGATAGAACTACATTTCTAAGGATAGAATTATATTGATTTCCATCACCAAGGTGTTGTAAGGCAGAGAGAGAAACATTTCTGACCTGTCTGAAGCCCAAAAAAATAATTACCTGCTTTTCTGGATACTATGACCCAAATTCATATATTTGGTGTACTTCAGGGCAGAAAGAGGAAACCCTATATAAAACGAATATTCACATGCTCTTATGTAAATTTTCATGGATAAGGTTAACAAAAGTTCATGGTAAATTTCCATATTTAAAGATGGTCACTGACTTTATGTACAAATGGTCTAAGAGGCAAAAATAAAAATACAGTTTTAAGTATAAATTATTGTTGAAAGGAGAAAAGGTGCAAAAAATAGGTAGTAGATACAAAATGATGTATTCTCTAAAACTTTAATTAAAGTATTAAGGTGTTAACCAGTAAGCAATTCTGTGACTTTTCTCTAACCTCTGCTTCTACTTCCTTAATGGTTACTGCTTCAATGCTTCTCACATCAAAGATCAACTAAGAAAACAATCTACTATCAAATTAATTTTTTTATTTAAACAGTTTTTTAAAGAATTATTTTATTCAACTTTATTTATTTATTTTAATTTGGTCACAGAGGGACAGAGTATGAGAGCGAGAGAGAGAGAGAAATTGAGAAAGCAAGCCGCCAGGTCTGGGATTTGAACCACAGTTGACCATGTGGGAGTCTAGCACCCACTACCACCAAGCCACCTGCCAGCCACCCAAATTAATTTTAGTTATATAATTAAAAGGAAATATTTTCACTAAGATACAACAGAATCAGAAAGAGGAAGGTGTCTAATTGCTTGAAAATTGCTAGATCTTTGTATTTATTTATTTTAATTTGGTCACAGAGGGACAGAGTATGAGAGCGAGAGAGAGAGAGAAATTGAGAAAGCAAGCCGCCAGGTCTGGGATTTGAACCACAGTTGACCATGTGGGAGTCTAGCACCCACTACCACCAAGCCACCTGCCAGCCACCCAAATTAATTTTAGTTATATAATTAAAAGGAAATATTTTCACTAAGATACAACAGAATCAGAAAGAGGAAGGTGTCTAATTGCTTGAAAATTGCTAGATCTTTGTATAGGAGAAAAGTTGCATGACTTATGGGAATTTGTATCTAGAAACCAATGATTTCTAGAGTCAGAGAATGAGTTTTTACCCGGGTTTTGGGAACACAGTTCTCCGTGTATTTAAACTGAAACCATCTTTTAATATAATACCTTAACTGGCACAGATTATATTTTGGTCCCCTTACATTCACTTTGAATACCTTTGCAAGTATTTGAACAAGGAAGATAAAAAGCAAACTTACGAAGCTTTCTTCTGGTTCTTATTATATAGTATGAACTAAAAATACAGACATTGAAGTAGTAGTAGGAAATATCTTAATAATAGTTACACAAGGTGTGCGCGTTCTTATTTTTTAAGGTGTTTAAACACTGTCCTTAAATTTCCAAACCTCACTAATATGCCACTATTGAAAAACAGGTAAAACAAAATTTTAGACGCTCCCTTCAAAAGGCTACTAGAATGCCATAATCTTTTGTTGTTGTTATTTTTGAGTAACATGTAATTATGACCAATATTATACAAAAATCAATTTTTGTTTTTTATTAATAAGATGTATACAGAAAAAATAAATTTATACCTTGTCGAAGGACACTTTATATTCCTGTGTAATAATCTTTAAATATGTGGTATGACAAATTATCAATCTAATGTGTAACTGTTCTTTTCCTTGCTTAAGGGTAGGTACCTTCACATTGGAAAGATGCTTCTTGTTGCCAGTTTAGGTGGTAAGGGAGGAAAGACAAATGTCTGGGCACTTTGTAGGCATTTTAAGGACTATTTACATCATTAAATCACATGACACAATCTGTAACACGGAACTGCAAGCAAAGTGAGATTTCTAAATAGATTTTCTCCAATGATGATTAGCAGAGACTGTGAAACTTCACACAATCATATTCAAGACTTGTAATACCTTGTAAAAGGTTTAAGCCAGTCACTCTATAGTGCCATTAAGACTGTATAAGGAGGGACCAGCAGTTAGTGTAATGGCTATGTCGCTGGACTCCCACATAGTCGACTGTGGTTCGAGTCCCGGACCTGGTGGCTTAAACTCATGCTGGGCGCGTGCGCATCGTGCGTGCCCAAGATCCCGAGAGGAGAATGGAGGAGAAGGGACTGCGGTATGGCCATTCCCCCTGGGGGGTGATTTCTCGCTTTCTGTCTCTGTTTGTCTCTGTCTGTCTGGCGAGCACACGCACCCAATAGCAAAAACCTCTCCAAAAAAAAGAAAAAAAAAAAAAAAGACTGTATAAGGAAAACAAAAAATTAAGGAAGGTGAATGAATATGTCAAAATGAGAATAAATTGGTTACTAGAATCATTTCCTTTCCATTTACTATCATAATCCTCACTTTCTAAAGGTAATTGCAATTATACACACATATAAATACATAGATGTAAGATAATTACATATATATATATATATATAAATAGATACTTATCTAAATCTAAACATCTAAAGTAGCAAACATTACATTACTATATATATGCACATCTGAACACAAGGATGTAAGATTGAAAGATAAACAGATCTTACATCTAAAATAGTACACTGACGGGGACCAGTAGGATGGAGTACTGGTTATGTCACTGGACTCCCATGTAGTTGACTGTGGTTTAAGTCCCAGACTTACAGCTTTAAACTCACTTGTGTGTGCATGCCCAAGAATACGAGAGGAGGACGGAGGAGGATGGGATTGCAGCATGACCACTCTTTGGAGAGTAATTTCTCACTTTCTGTCTCTCTGTCTCTGCAAGGAGCACACATGCCCTATACCAAATATCTCTCTAAAAAGCAAACAAACAAACAAAAAACTGATGAGCCCATGAAAAACAGGAATGGCTTACCTGGCGTTATCACTACTCCATTTCCATTGACCACAGGCCTCTCTTCCTCTTCCTCCTCAGGAGGCTCTATACTTGCTTTCTCCATGTTGCTCACTGATTTATTCCTCTTCCGTTTTCCTTCAGCACTTGGAGTGGCTCCCGGAAGTATCTGGTCTGTTACATTTAATAATAATGGTGCTGGTTCTGCTGGAGGCTTCGGGGTACCGTAGTAATTGTCTACAAATGATACAAAGACATTCTGGAGTTAAATCTCTCTCCTGCTGTGTGATAACTTGTAAAATGGAAAATACATTACCAAATTTTTATACTATTTATACACCCACACACACATTTATTTTTATTTTTTTGCATATATATGGGTGTGTGTGTATGTATGTATGTGTATATATGTGTGTGTATGTTTGTGTGTATATATATATACACACATATATATATACATATATGTGTGTGTGTGTGTGTGTGTGTATATATATATATATGTTTGTTGTTTCTTTTGAATTGGACATTGGTGATTAAAGATACAGACCTATCTTCAATTTCATCTTTCTACCAAATGAAAATATGATCTTATGTATTATTCCAATGGGTACTTCAAATAATTTCAAAATTATTTAGATTATTTTGATAAGAACATTAGATCATAACCTTGTAAAAATGATTATGTCAAGAATCCAGGTGATTTTTTTTTGGGGGGGGAGGATGAATTTCACGTTATTCCAGAAAGGCAAAGCGTCTAATGCTTTTCTCCAGCTTTCAAGGGGCTATGTCTATTGTCATTGATGTATACAGTGCTCCCCAGAGATTATTTCCAGGCCACGTTAGTGGTTCCCATGGCTGCTGAAAGCAGACTTGCTGCTCACATCATTCTTCAGATTGCCACAGCTCTTTTTCCCACAGCTCCATTATCTAGCTATGGAATCATTTGTTTTCCCCAACCGTCTGTAAGACTTCATTAGAGGGGAGACTAATTTGTATTTATTTCTGTAATAAGAACCTGGCACATAATAAGCATGGAATAAATCCTTACTAAGTGAACATCTTTATAGGTTCAAGGCAACATACTTTATTTATTTATTCAAGTTTATTTTATTCATGATAGAGAGTGCATGCTTACGCATGAGAGAGAGAAAAAAGAGAGAGAGAGAAAGTGAGGAAAGGAGGGAAGGAGGCAGGGAGGAGGAAAAACCACTCTTGACAGAGTCTTGTCATACTGCAATCTTCTTTCAACCCTTCATCTGGTTAAAATATTGGGCCATGTATGTGTGCACCTGGCGTGTTTCAGGTCTATAGGGCCTGGTATCTGAATCCATGGTGGGTTATGCGACTTCCAACATCATAGTTTAGTGTGTTACTGACAAAGTCATGGAGACTAGACCAGCTCTTTAAATATTCTAAACTTTCAGTTGGCAAAGAACCTAGATGGTGATTTTAAAACATCAATCTTACACTTTCAGCACCACCTTCAAATCCATATCTGTATTTGCAGTTAATCAAGTAAATTATGAACACTCGTTAAAATCTTTCATTAGAATAAAATCTAACTATGCAGCCAGGCATTTTGATATACAGCTAACCAAAAAATGATGCATGTAATACAATTCCTGTCTTCCACAGTGGTCAGCATCTAATGTGAGACTACATTTGACTCATAGGAGGATGACATATAATGAGCATTGTAATAGGAAATAGGATTGAGCACAGAAAAGAGACATAGAGGATGAAGCAAGCGCTCCTCACAATCTGCAGAGGTCATTGATGGCATCCTGGAAAGTAATGTGTTGTGAAACTAACACCTTTAACTAGAACACATGGGACCTAGACTTTACTGCATAACCTAGATTCAAGCAAGTTAGTCACTTGCCTCAGTGAGGCTATTCCTTCCTGTATAAGTGGGGAAACAACAATAATTGTTATAATCACCAGTATTCTGAGTTGCAAACAAGCAAAACCTACTCAAGTGAAATAAGATAAGAATATGCTAGAAAGAGGTAAGATGGGGAAAAGGCTGGAAAACCTTGAGGAAAATGAGCAGAAACAAAGATATTTACTCAAGACACCCAGGTAGCCTTTGTTGGCTCTGGATTCTGAAAACTCTAGCTGGTTTTACTGTAAGGGACACAGCCTTGCAGTGAGGTGTAAACTACCTCTTTGGGAATGAGTTCCAAACTCCCCTGGCTGTTCTGATTGGATCATTTCTGAGAAAACTCTTTTTTTTTTCTTTTTCTGGAGAGGTTTTTTTCGCTATAGGGCGCGAGCGTTTGCCAGACAGATAGAGAGAGACATAGAGACAGAAAGCGAGAAATCACCCCTCAGGGCGGATGGTCACACCGCAATCCCTTCTCCCCCATTCTTCTCTCAGGATCTTAGGCACACAGGCACATGCGACCGGCATGAGTTTTAAGCCACCGGGTCCAGGACGTGAACTGTGGTCGACTACGTGGGAGTCCTGCGACATAACCATTATGCTAACTGCTGGTTCCCAAGAAAATTCTAAGAAATACATTGACTAAAAACCCTGAGCAAACAAGAACACATAGTTTCTCCCTAGAAGTCAATGAACTATTATATATCAGCATTCTTGAAGGCTAGCACAGCTCTCAGTACGCTGCTATGCTTTCTAGGGAATCTCAATAAATACTTCTAATCTGTAAACATAACATAAAACTAGTAAATAATCCCTACGTGATATAATTGTAGGTAGTAATCTAAGATTTTTTAAATGCTTTCAAATATACATTGTACGAAGAAAAATGAATTGCATTTCACTTTTTTTTTCATTTGTCATTTAAGTTAAAAATCTCCCTGAAGTAAAGAATCTTTAACTAATTAGAAATAAATATATAGTCCAGATTAAAAATAAATGCTAAGTAATGGGTTCTGCAGGGTTTTTATTAGTAAATAATCACACCTGCTGGTATATAATGTGATTATAAATTATATAGCATATTCTACTTCTATTATTTGATTTATGCAATTAATAAATCAGATTAAATTTAGATGTAAAACTGTATAAATCATTAGTAAAGACTTTAAGATTATCTTTCCTAGCAATAGTAGTAACTTAAAGGAAGCACATAATAATTACTACACTTGAAAAATATAATTCATGAAGACTAAGCAATCACCCTAAGCCAAAATTTTTATACAACTGCATAAGAATAAGGTAACTAGAAATCCCTAGACCGGGACCAGCAGTTAGCGTAATGGCTATGTCGCTGGACTCCCATGTAGTCAACCATGGTTTGCGTCCTGGACCCGGTGGCTTAAAACTCACACTGGGCGCGTGTGCATGCATGCCCAAGATCCCGAGAGGAGAATGGAGTAGAGGGGATTGCAGCGTGGCCATCCCCCCTGGGGTGTGATTTCTCGCTTTCTGTCTCTATGTCTCTCTTTGTCTGTCTGGCGAGCGCACGCACTCTATAGCAAAAACCTCTTCAAAAAAAAAAAGAAAGAAATACCTAGACCAACAACTGAAGAATTGGCCAAGTAGTCAGTAGCTAAGTCACTGAAATGACTCCCTGCTCTAAGTGAATATATATCTGTATGAAGAGGATAAACTGTGCTTCTCAGGTAAGTATAAGTGTGCTTTTGGAAAAAATAAGAGTCAAAACAGTTTTTAAGTATAATTTGGATATATTGTCTTATTAGGAATGAAGCATTTGGGAGCCAGTATTTGGCATGGTGGTTAAGGCACTAGACTCCCACATGGTCAATGGCGGTTTAAGTCTTGGACCTGGCAGCTTGAAAATCATGCCGGGTGCATGTGAGCGCACCCAAAATTTAGAGAGGAGAATGAAGGAGTAGGGATTGGGTGTGGTCATTCCATAGCAGGGTGATTTCTCACTTTCCTTCTCTTTGTCTCTGTCTTTTGCCCTATGGCAAGAAAATCTTCTTCATATATATTATAATATGTATATGTGTATATATATATATATATATATGTTAAATATGTTATATATATGTATATATAAATTAAGAAGGTCTTTCTATGCGCTGTTCTAGGATTTAGTGAATCTAAAATCTAAAAACAAAAACATAGTATTGCGTAATATTTTATGGCATAGATCCTGGTGAGATAAAACTAACTTTGAATCCCATGTTCTCTAATCCCACTACCTCTCTATATGCATAAATTGAACTATAAGATGACAATGGTCACAAAAACAACTACAACCACTACTATCATCACAATTTCCTGAGCTGGACAGTATAATAGGCAAGAACACATGCACTCCTGTATGAAATGGGGATCAGATTAGCTCTTATCCAATGCTGTTGTTAAAAAAAAAATTAATGATAATGAAGGGTATATGGCATGACTGTAGCAGACTGGGTGCTCAATATAATGCTGGCTACTTTTGTCATTCATTCATCACAGTAAGAAGTCACTCTGCCTCTTCAGTTAAGAAAATTAAGACCCTAAGGAGTTAAGCTATTTCCCAAAATTATACATGAAGCAAGTGAAAAAACCTATATGTTTGATGTAAGAACCTATTCTGTTTTCAAAATACTATATTATATTTTAAGAGAAAAAATAAAAGATTTAATTCACAACTTTCCCAGAACTCATACTGGAGGACTTCATTCAAAGGCACAATCAATGAACACAAATATATCCGTTTCAAAAGGAAAAGTCAGTAATGCTACCAAATCATATAGCAGGAACATTTTAGATATTTTTCCTCCTTCTTCCAAAAATAAGTGTATGTGTGTGTGTTGTAGAGGGGGATAGAAGGATTAAAAAAAAAATTTAGACTACTTTCCATTGACCATAAAAATGACATATACATGAGCAGCTTCATGTAAAATTTTTAAAAAGTTTCTTTCTTTCATGAGAGAAAGGCAAAGAAAGAGAAAGTGAAAGTGAGGGTGGGAGGGCACCCTCAACAAGGTCTTCCTGCTGTGATCCACCTCCAGCCTCAGCCATGCCAGATCACACGTGTGTGCTTGACAGGTACCAGAGGCCTGAGACTGAACGCAGGTCCGGTTATGTTACCCCTATGCCACTGTCTAGCCCTCATGTAATTTTAATATTAAATCCCACTAACTTACTGAATATGATAACAAGATTATATGTAAAATTGCCTACTTAACTCTACCATATTAGATAATCTATACATTTACATTGTTTGATTTTTAATCAATGTACAGAAAATAAGAGAGGAACCTGATCTATTCTTTGGCTTTTATTTTTTAAAGAATTATTTATTTAATTT